GGCCCCGCCGCCAGGGGCCGCCCGCCCGCCCGCCTCCCAACGCCCAGGCGCCCAGCTGGCCCGGGACGGCGGCGTCAGCGACCCTGCCCGGCCCTGCCCGGCCCTGCCACCGCGGGCGCTGACGGCGAGCCCCTGCTCCACCGGCCCCAAGCCAGGTGCCGGGGGCAGGGAGAGGCGCGGCGAGGCGGCGAGGGACGCCCTCTTCCTTCCCGAGCCCGGCCAACTGCCCAGCTCACCTCGTGGCTCTGGTAGGTCTCGAGCGCGCGGATCGCCGTTTCGGTGAGCTTCACATGCAGTACGGTGGTGTTGTCCTGTCCCAGCCTCCCGCACGACAGCCCATAGCGCTGCTCCTCCCGCAGGCCCGCCGCCCCCCCTGCCGCCATCTTAAACTCCCCGGGGTGTCGCCGCCGACGCCGCTCGGGCTCTAGCCTCCACTGCGGCCGCGGCTGCTCGGGCTTCTGCAGCCGCCGCCACAGCTACGGCCATCCCGCTGCTGACGTACTGTCATATACTGCGCGCAGCCAGACCTCGGGCTGCCACCGCCGCCACCCGCCCCACCCTCCGGCCTCGTGCCCCGCCCCGTGCTCGTCTCATTGGCCCCGGTCCCCTCAGAGCTGTCCTCATTGGTCTCCCTCCACTCTCACGGGGGCGGAGCCCAAAGTCGCTGGAGTTTGCTCCCGGGACGGGACGTCCGAGAGGTAAGAGGCTGACGTCGAGGTGACGCGCCAACTTAATCGCACCTGACGTCACGTCTGGTCGTTTTGGCCCACTGGCCGCTATTGGCCAGGTTGGTTTGGGGGATCCCCTGCTAATTGGGTGTCCAGATTGCCAGGTCTGGTTACCTGGGGTCGAAGCCCCGCCCCTTGGGGGGTATAGTAGTAGAGAGCCGGGAGTGAAGGGGAGAGTCTCTTCCTGCGCTGGTGGTCCTTGGAGAGGAGGATCCCCACCCCGAATGTGAGGCCAAGTAAGGACTTCGTCCCCCGACGGCTGCGTTTGTGGAGTAGGATGTGTGCATGTGAGGGAGGTCGCTGTAGGCGGAGTCACTAGAGAGTCGCTCCTCAAAACTCATTGCTATTGCTGTGCGACCGAAATGGGGGAGGGTGCCCTTCTCCGTCATTTCACCCTAAATTTGAAATTAGTGAGTTGGCCCTTGGTTTTAAGAGTTTCTGCTAGATTGTGTGGAGCATCTTAAGTACAACACCATGCCTAAAGGTTAAATCCCTTTGGTGTGGTGGGCATAGTACTAAAGAAAACGGAATTTAAAGGTTTTTCCCACGCCATGCCCTGTTGTGACCCCAGAGAAACGGTATTCCGTTCCTTTGGAGTTCGCCATAGGAGCAGGGTTGTGCCTTTTTATGGGACTTGGAGCCGCAGTTAGGATTTTCCTTTCAAAGGGCAGTAGAAGAGTGTAAGTGGCCTTGACCTAAATTAAGAGAAACAGCGACATCATTCTCCGGTTCGTTTGAGTTCTGTCCATTTCATTTGACAGGGATGTGGGAAAACCTAGAGTTTAAGCTATTGATATTAAGCGTAGGAGATGGGTGTGTGAGGGGCTGCGGAGGCTGGGCATACTTTCCGTTCCTCGCGATGCTCCATGTGTAGGCGTGGCTAAAGGAGGAAGCCTAATCAGGAGCCCTCTTCAGGCTGTGTGTGGAGGGACTGACAGGCTTCCCGTCAGAGGAGATGAGTTAACAGGGTGATCAGCACCACCAGATAAAGACAAACCGTTCAAAGGCTTGAAACTGTTGCAAGGCAGTTTTTAAAAATGATTATTATTTTTAAATTTGAGACGATTTTTGTTTCCCTCAGATTGTAAAACCTTGTTGCGTTTTACAGGGATTCCCCAGAAAAATTATAGGCATTTAATCAGTATTTCCCATACTTTTTAATTGGATGGGGCTATGATTTTCCAGAAAGGTCCAAGTGGGATTGTTTTCATGATTCACCCCCTCCCCTTAATAAATCCTCTAGCCTACATGTACACCACCTCTTGATTCAGACCCTCAAGCATTGTATGTGTATAATACAAATTACAGAACGAATTCTCCTTCCACAGAATATGGGTTAAGTGGAAACACCTGTATTGTGTTGTTACATCACAGGAGAGCATTTTTAAAATTGATTTAACTTCAATCCACTAGATTTGGCTAGCTGTTAAGGCGTGATTAACACTTGTTAATTTAGTTTACTAGTGTTAATTATCTTAAATTCATTGAATAAATTAAGGCAATCACAAAAAATTTTTTTAAAGTAATCTTATACTTGAATTATTCTTTTCTCCTGTTTGCTTTGCTCTTTGATAGGGAAGGACTGACTGACCACATATCTAAAGTTTTAATTATTTGGGGGTGGGGAGAAGAGTCTGACCAGAACAAGTAAAACCTGTATACCATTGCTTTTCTGGTGAAGGTGGGTAAATCCCCGCCCACATGGCATCTTAACTTGGCCTCCTCTTACTCAGAACTTCTGATGACATCCAAGGGGTGGGGGAGGAGCAAGGGTGGTTTTCACTGTAGTTTTTAAATGTCTGACCCACAGCCCCTTAATAGAAATTGATTTTCTTTTCTTAATTGTGGTAGGAAAATTTTTCTCATGCTGTATTTTAGTGAGTAACCTAATCTTTCAGTGAGTAATACAGTATATTATTGTAGTGAGTTATTGTTTGTATTTTTCCTCTTTTGGGCATTTCGACTATGGAAGGAAGCAATGAACACGTACAAAACAATAGGGTAGGGGCTTCCCTGGTGGCACAGTGGTTGGGAGTCTGCCTGCCGATGCAGGGGACACGGGTTCGAGCCCTGGTCTGGGAGGATCCCGCGTGCCGCGGAGCAACTGAGCCCGTGAGCCACAACTATTGAGCCTGCGCGTCTGGAGCCTGTGCTCCGCAACAAGACAGGCCGCGATAGTGAAAGGCCCGTGCACCGTGATGAAGAGTGGCCCCTGCTTGCCACAACTAGAGAAAGCCCTCACACAGAAAAAAAGACCCAACACAGCAAAAATAAATAAATTAATAAACTCCTACCTCCAACATCTTAAAAAAAACCAAAACAATAGTGTAATCTAGTGTGTCTCTTCATTGCATAGTACACATTATGCCTGCCTGAATCAAATGGGCAACTTGTGATGCTGATAAGGTTAATTCCTTCTCAGGAGGCTGGTGAAAGTTGCTCTTTGGGAAGTTTGCCACTTTATAGATATTTTCTGTATCATTATTCACTTTAATTAACAATTATTGAATGCTAAATAAATGTAAAATACTGTGGAAGATTTAAAAAATAAACAGTGTAGTCCCTTATTTAAAGAGATCTTCTGTTTGAATATGGGGAATGAACCAACAAACTCAAAGTGATTAGAGAATTAGTAAGTGCTGATTTGGGTGGTAGTGTTTATGAGCTTAAAACTTCAAAGAAAGGAGAAGACTGCAGAAGTTTTGTGGTGGTGTGGAACTTGAACATTTTTTGAGGGTTGAGTAGATAGATTCTAGTTAAGTAGAGGTGGTATAGATGGGGAGAGGCCAACTAAAAGTGATCTTAATGATCATTCTAGCTAAACTCATTCATTTTACGAATGAGGAGACTGAGACAATTTAAAAGCAACCTGCCTAGGGGCTTCCCTGGTGGCGCAATGGTTGAGAGTCCGCCTGCCGATGCAGGGGACACGGGTTCATGCCTTGGTCCGCGAAGATCCCACATGCCGTGGAGCGGCTAAGCCCGTGAGCCATGGCCGCTGAGGCTGCGCGTCCGGAGCCTGTGCTCCGCAACGGGCGAGGCCACAACAGTGAGAGGCCCGCGTACCGCAAAAAAAAAAAAAAAAAAAGCAACCTGCTTAACTCATTACAACCAGGAGAGGCAGGGTCTGAATCAGCTTTTTAAGTGTCATTATAGTCACTATATACACTGCGTAGCTATTGTTTGGACTTAATAACTGAGAAGAAATCTGTCTTATATGATAATTCAGTGGAAGAAAAGTGAAAAGGAAGTAACCTTGTTCAGGACTTGCTCCATCTCTGATGTCTAGTGTGCGGTGCAGACAGAGGTTGTGTGAACATCAAGGCCATCGCTGGTCTTCAAGTGCTGGGCCACCCTTCATTCTGGGTTGCCACATATTTAATGAGCATTTCTTACTTATCCTTTGGAACTGAGGTCACCAGTTCAGATGCCTTCAGGGACCATTAGGTACCTGAAATGAGTGAAATGGCCAGTTTGCCGCAGGGACTGAAGGTGCTGGACTGTGGTGAGCTGGGGGTGTTTAAAGGGCTCAGTGATTTTCTGCTTTGGCTGATTGTTGCTAGGTGAACCTGCAGGGACCCAGTGTTGTCCGATCTTCTAATTTTTCAAGAAAAGCTGTAAATCGAAGATTTTTACATGGGCTCTCTGAGTTTATTTGTTGGCACCTTACTAAAAATGTCAATAAATGTTTTGTGGACGTTAAAAAAGTCTCTTGGCCTGAGTTAGGCCACAGCTTTCTAGTTTTCAGTTTCTGCTTTAGTGCTTTTCAGTGCTGAAGGCCATTCTGTCTTATACACGTCTTAGTAGTTTTGTGAGTTATTTCTTTTTTTTTTTTTAACATCATTATTGGGGTATAATTGCTTTACAATGGTGTGTTAGTTTCTGCTTTATAACAGAGTGAATCAGTTATACATATACATATGTTCCCATATCTCTTCCCTCTTCGTCTCCCTCCCTCCCACCCTCCCTATCCCACCCCAGAAAATGAGTTTTTAAAAGAATACGTAATTTTATTCCTGCATTAAATATCAGCAGAATGGGGTATGTTGTTGGGATTTTCATTTTCTTACAGAGATAGCGTCATTTTGTGTAATTTCAGCTTGCAGCTCCTGTGTGTGTGTCTGTGTGTGTGTGTGTGTAGCTACGGAGGGAGTCAAAGAGAAGACCAAGTAGGAAGGTTGTTAATCCTTTCCAATTTTTGATAAAATTAAAGCAATTTTCCTTCTAAGCTTATAACTAATAATTTCACGGTTTTCTAAGGCGGAAGTCAGGATTTTCTCCTATTGCTTTTCTCTTTGCTGACTAGGGCCAGAAAATCACTAAGAGAGAAGAATGAAAGTTGGTAAGGATTTGAAAAGCCAGCTCAGTAGGCTTTCAAAACCTTCTCCCTGGACTGCCTGTTTCTGTCAGTTAGGTCACTGCCCTGGGGAGGAATAGGTGGCTGTTTAGATGGCAGAGATTGGAGAACACTCTCCAATCTCAGGGTTTTTACCAGAAAGGGAGCCTTGCTTGCGGGGAAAAGCTTGCTTTGTGAGCACAGATACTGTGTTAGTTTCTTGTGGCTGCTGTGACAAATAACCACGAATGTGGTGTCTTAGAACAACACATATTTATTCTCTTACAGTTCTGGAGGTCAGAAGTCTGAAATCATTTTCACGGGGCTGTAGTCAAGTTGTCAGCAGGGAGGCACCCTTTGCTCAGAAAACATTAAAAAATGCCATTCCCATGGAGAGTTATCTCCGTGGAAATAAAAAATATATAAAATACAGGTTTATTGAAATTATATGTATGTATGTTTATAAGTAAAGACATTTTTAGGTGTAGAAGAGAAGTTGAGGAAGATCACTTTGGTTCTGTCCACTTTTTCATGTTATGAAACTGTCTGTGCATTAATTTTGTATCCTGCTACTTTACCAAATTCATTGATTAGCTCTAGTAGTTTTCTGGTAGCATCTTTAGGATTCTCTATGTATAGTATCATGTCATCTGCAAACAGTGACAGCTT